GAAGGTGCAAATATGCAGATAGGTAAAAGTCAGGCTAAAACAAGAAACGAATGGTATAACCAAGAATGTAGAGAAATAACAGAAAAAAAGTGCAAGCCAGAAATAAATGGCTAAGAACAGATAAAGAGGAAGACAGAGAAGAATATGAAAAATTAAGAAGGTATGCTAAGAAAGTGATAAGGCAAAATAAAAGAAGATGGGTAGACAAAAAAATGCAGGAAATAGAGCAGGAAAGAACAAACAGAAATACGAAAAGTTTTTACAAAAAGATTAAAGAACAAAACAAAAAATACAAAGGCAAAACAAACGGAATAAAAAATAGAGAGGGAATAGTGATAATAGAGGACCAAGAATACAAGCAAGTATGGAGAGATTACTACAGAGAGCTCTTGACGGAGGAAACAACAGAAGAAGAAATGCATGACGAGGAGGAAACAGTACACGAAGAAGAAGCAAATGAAGTAGACATCGAAATTTCAAAAGAACCAACATTAGAGGAATTGGATGAAGTAATACAGAGAAGTAAAAATGGAAAAGCCCCAGGTAAAGATGGAATTAATATGGAACTAATAAAATACGGGGGAAGGGAACTAAGAGGAAAAATACTGGCACTATTGAAAAATATATGGAAAGAAGAGAAAATGCCAGGTGACTGGGAGGTAGGACAGATCATAACAGTACATAAAAAGGGAGATCAACAAATCTGTGAAAATTATAGAGGAATAACATTACTAAATACAACATATAAAATATTGACATCAATAATAAAAAAGAGGTTATCAAAGATCACAAAGAAGACAGTAGGACAGTACCAATGTGGATTCACAGAAGGAAGATCTACAATAGATGCAATACACACAATAAAACAAATAATGGAAAAAGCAAACGAGTATAAATTAGAATTGGAAATGTTATTCATAGACTTCAAACAGGCATTTGATTCAATTAAAAGGAACGTATTAATGACAGCACTTAAAAAATTAAAAATTCCACATAAACTCAGAAAATTAATAGAAATGACATTGAGAACTACAAAAATAAGCATAAAGACACAAAGAGGAGAGACAGAGGAATTCAGTATAAATAAAGGGATGAAACAAGGAGATGCCTTATCAACGACGCTATTTAATCTAGCATTAGAATATGTACTGCGAAATATAAATAAAGGAAATCTCAGAACAAGAGGTGGTCAAATAATTGCATATGCAGATGATATTGCTATTATTGCAAAAAACAGAAAAATAATGAAAGAAATGCTTGAAGAAATAAGAGAGAAAGGGGAGGTAATGGGGCTAAGATTAAATCAAGAAAAGACAAAAATATTAAGATTAGGGAAAAAACCAATGAAGGAAAAAATCAAAATAGGAAGTTCCGAGTTTGAAGAAGTAGAATACTTCAAATACCTAGGAGTTACAATAAGTAAATCCGGAGAAAGGAAATCCGAAATAAAAGAAAAAATATTAGCAGCGAATAAAGCTTATTTTGCAAACAAAAGATTACTTAAAAGCAAAACACTGACTAAAAAAAGCAAGATGAGCATTTATAACACCATAATTAGACCAATATTATTATATGCAGGGGAAACAATGACGATGGTTAAAAAAGATGAAGAAGACTTAAGAATTGCAGAGAGAAAGATTATGAGAACCATACTAGGACCAATCAGAACAGAGCAAAATGAATATAGAAGCAGAACAAATGCAGAAATTAAGGAAGAACTTAAGGAAGACATTGTAACTAAAATAAAGCAATGCAGAGTTAGATGGTTAGGTCACATCTGGCGATCAGGCGATGAGGCAGTGACATACGCAATGATAGAATGGAATCCAGGAGGAAGAAAGAGAAGGGGAAGACCGAGATCAAAGTGGCTGCAAGAAGTTGAAGAAGACCTCCAAAGGGCAGGAGTCAGTGAATGGAGAGGAAGAACTAGAGACAGGAAAAAATGGAGAGATATTGTCAAGAAGATAAGATAAACAAAAAAAAAGACTGATCCACTTAAGAAATAGGATCTAGAAAGCATTTGCGGTTTAACCCCACGTTGGGGTGTATAGCCATTATATATATATATATATATATATATATATATATATATATATATATATATATATATATATATATATATATGATGGGGTTTTTTGAGAACATCCGAAGAGGATATGGTTCTGCTAGCGTAGATTTCCTAAAACAATGGGCCAACTTTAACATCAAGCTTGCATCACTCAACAACAGAAGAATTTTCCTTTTGAAATGTAGAAAAAATCTTTGTTTTCCTGCACACATAGAGAATGGAAAGTTTAACATTAATAACTTGTTACATCATAAAGGAGGTAAATTAGGTAATAAAATTCAAAACTTTAATTCAAATTTAAAAACCAAAGTCTTAAACTTAGAAATTTCAGTAACAATAAATGATATTAATTACATTGAAAAGAAGATACATCAATTAAATAATATATTAGAGCAGCATTTACCTGCTCCTTTACTACAAGAATTCTATAGAAGACAAAAAATCAAATATAACAAAGTATTTTTCCAAATAAGAAATAACAACATAAAAAAATTTAACAAAATAAAAGTAGATCAATTTTCAAAAATAACTTTTCAAGAAAAATGGTTTAAAAATCTAACTAACATCACTTTTCCTTATAATGTTAAAAAACTTTTGTCTTTGGGTCCAAAATTTTGCCTATTTCCTAGTGCTAGAGATTTTAAAATGTCTTCTCTTCTCTCACACATCGAGTTTCTTATTTCTGGTCTAGAACCTCAAGAAAAGGACATCATGAGATCTCAAAGCACAAATGTTATCATTAACTATCTACACAAAACAAGTAAAGAAGGACACTTTTTAAACACAATATACAATGAGTGCAAACAATTTTTAAAATGAACTTTGAAAATAAGGCTATTATCGAGCACAAGTTAATTAAATCTAGCCCAAGTACTTTCACTTAAAATAGCATCTTCAGGGGCATTTCGTCAAAATGTAAACTATCCGGCAAGCGTAGAATGTGGAAACATTAAAAATAACATAAAATTGTACAAAACACTACACTAAAACGAGGACAAACAGTTTAAAATTACTTAAAGATTCTACGCTACATTCTCTGTCAGTATCTGGAGGGATAATGGAGGGATTATTGTACATTTTGTGATATATTGTAAATATTTACACATTTTTCTAATTACAGTGTCTTGATAAAGGAATTAAACAATTCCGAAAGCTAGACCAAAAGTCAAAAGAGTGTTTCTGGAACATCCCGGCCAAACTTCTGACTGCAGCCCCAATAAACTTTGTTGTTTGTTTAAATTGACAGTCACGAATATCCAGTATTCATTATATATATATATATATATATATATATATATATATATATATATATATATATATATATATATATATATATATATATATATATATATATATATATATATATATATATATATATAAGAGTAAGAAAAAAGAAGTACTTGTGACTCGTTTGGAAAAAATATAACACGCTTTATATATAGAGCAAATATGTCAATTATCATCCATAGTGCCATGTGATATGTCGTATGTCGCTTAACGTTAATAATAAATCTTGGTAGTCTCTTTATTTTTTCTGTCTGAATATTATCAATATATCCTCCCCTTTTATTTGCTATGTCGCATATTAGGACTCGATCAGTTGTTTATTTTGCACTCAACCTGAGGCCTTCTGTAAGTTAATCATCAAAATTTATCTTATGGCAAATCTTTTTTATCTATAGTGCCCTATGACATCTCGTATATCGCTATAGATTAATTACTAAAGAAGATACTGTGTAGTGCCCCTTTAGTAGTAGGATTCGATCAGTTGTTTATTTTGTATTCATAGTACCCTATGATATCTCTCTATATGTGTCGATACATTCATTATATTAATGAAGACACTATGTAGTACCCTTTTGGTAGTTGCTTTGTTCGTTTTTGTTTACTTAATATATTGGTTATTTCCTCCCCTTTCGTTTGCTATGTCACATGTTAGAATTCGAGTTGCTTATTTTGTACTCAGCCAGAGACTTTCTAAAGTCAATAAATAAAAATTTGTCTTTTAGTTAAACTATTTTTATTAATAGTGCCCTATGACATCTCGTATGTAACTATTCGTTCATTAATAATAAAAAGACACTGTGTAGTGCCCTTTTGGTAGTCGCCTTGTTTGTTTTTCTATCTTAATATATCCGTAATATCCTTCCCTCTCATTTAACGTATCACACGCTCCAATCGGACCAATAACAAAGTAGATATGATGTAATGTCCAATGTAGCAATGCCGAAATATCTGTTTCTTCTATTTCAACATATTCACTAACCCCTTTCCTTTCCAATAAAATATTATTCGTCACGATCCGACGAACTATTCTATCCCCACAACAAAACGCTCAAGAAATGAGCAGAATGAACCTTAGCATTTTGTAAATTTTATTTAATTGTTATTTGATTCTACGTAATTATGTTTAACTTGATTTAATTTTATTTAATTCTATTAACCTTTGTTTAATTTTATGTAATCTTATTTAGTTTTATTTTTTTATTTTGGTAAAGCGTTGACGTTTCTGAAACGTCATTTTATTTTTATAGTAAGTGTATGTTTATCTTATCGAATGACATAAATAAATATATATATATATATATATATATATATATATATATATATATATATATATAGATTATACGTCATTGATCTTACCTTACACTTACAGTAACCTATATTTTAAGCAAATTTGCGAAAAAATTAAATACCTTGAAATAGTAAAATTTCTGATTAACAATGTCAATCATCAAATTGTAGAATGAATTAGCAATAAATCAATCGTATCGTTTGAGGACCAAAATATGATTGAAATGTCAAGTGTCATTTTACAAGTGGCGTCGTTACCTTACTGGACAAACGTATGACTTGTCATCATAAACTTTTATATAGATAGATAATATCAAAACTCAGCTTTCAAATCTTTAAACTATAATACAAACTTTACCTTTTGATGTGAAGAGTAAGTGTAGTAGAATGTTCACTATAAGGATTACTAACTACTGTTCCGAGGGGATGTAATACATCATCTGAACTCATGTCGTCTGCGAATGCCCACATGTACAGAGTCATATCCCCACTTTTCAGCTGTCCTTTGAAATCATATACAGACGTATTAGCCCAAGCTAATGGGTTATTTGAAAAGTTATTTTCCTAAAATTTGGATATATTTAATGTGCTTGAATATTAGTGGTTAAAATTTCTACTACTTTTTGTTTAATTTCCACAAACTTATAGAATATGAATAAAATACTTCAAAACACAAGTCTAAAAATTTTATAAAACAAACTTTTTAGTATATGTCACAAACATTTTATGATGTATAAAATGTTCTGCATAACTTAAAAATAAAAAATCACATGTATTAACATTATAAAATATTGGATAGAAAAATTCACATCCAGATGGAGAGCATGTTACACTATCTATTATATTAGTCTTTTGTATTCTTATTAAAATTGCATGTAAATTAACATAAATTACGGTATTCATTCGGTAAAATGTTATATAATTAAGTGAATAAAGAAATAAGAAAATAGGTAATAACGTTGTAGATAAACTAATGTGAAAACGTTTCTAATAAAAAATATTAAATAACTAGAATGTGGCCCAATTCAAACGCATAGGGATTCCGGAATGTATGATGTTTTACTAAAATGCTTTTGTTTTGTCACACCAAACTGAAACGACCGTGTACTACTTATTAGAACAATGTAGACAACAGAATTAATGTTCATAATATGATGCAAACAAACTAAAATGCTTTTGTTTTGTCACACCAAACTGAAACGACCGTGTACTACTTATTAGAACATTGTAGACAACAGAATTAATGTTCATAATATGATGCAAACAAATATATATATATATATATATATATATATATATATATATATATATATATATATATATATATATATACAGATTGAACGAAATAAATTCGGAACATATGAAATATTATGTATTTCGGCTCAATTTTGCTGTAGGTGGTTGGCCAACAAAAGGTTGTCAAATAATATTATAAAAATCCTATACTTCCGCGGGCTGCTAGATTCTGAAATCATAAAAATTGAAAGCTTCGCATAAATCTAATATTATATTATGCTGTCAAACGAGTTATCGCTTCTTTAGACAAGACCTTCTTTGAGCGGTGTTGCCAACCTCATTCCTTTAGATGTTTCTCAAATAAGGTGTTATCCATAAAATATTTACAAGAAAAAAAGAAAATAACTACAAACCATTAAGTTTATTTTTGTTATTAGTCTGTTATTAGTCTCAAAAAGATTCGCAAATCGGATTATTACACGGCGATTAACAACATTGTTACGCAAACAACATTGTTGCGAGACAGATAGTTGAACGATATTTTATACAATGTCTAAACCCAGGTATGGATTTATTTTTGTCCAAGTTTTATATTGGTCCACTATTTCAAATGCAGTTCACAAACAGACATATATTAAATTGTATGATCCGTTTTAAATTCGTTTAATCTATATATATATATATATAATACATAATAAAACTGGAAAATTTATATTTTTTAAAATAACCAAAAACAACACAAAGACATTACAAAAATAATACAACTGTTAATCGACAACGAAAATTTAAATTTTAAAGATAATTAAAGAAAATTATAAATTGCAAAAATAGATTAAAGAACTTAATGTATACTACCACAGAATACACCAACCCAACAAGAAGCGAAACGAAGGGCTTTTTCGCAATCAAAATTTCTTTGCGAATCCGCCATGTTCTAATTAGTTTAGTTGTCAACCTAAAAACTAAAGTTTGTTTATGTATTTTTACGTATTGAGAAGTGTTGTTTGATGTTTGTTTTTAAATATCTAAAAAAAGAGTGTTATATTTGAATCTGGTGAGAAAATTAGTGTCTTTTCAATACCGAGTGATCGTTGCAGGTAAACAAATTAAATTTGAAATTCAAACGCATTACAAATGTTATCTGAACGTTTATATTTTAGTTAAATACACTTTTTTTAGAGCTGAATTATGGCTGAAAGCAGCAAACAGGAAATATCTGCTTTCCAAGCATGCTGAATTACATAATAATTATAAAATGTGCGAGAAACATTTTGAACCGGTATACATGTACAAAGGAAATAAAAGGAAGACCTTATTTGGACAACCACATCATACGATTTTCTCGCACAGCCAATATTCACAACACACAGACGAACCATTCAAGAAAGTCATAAGGCTGGAAGGTAGATACTTTTTATTTATTCACAATTATAGTGCCTCATTATAAAAGTCATATAAAAACCAGTATCTACTTATATAGTTTGTTGTTTTTCATAATATAAACAGGATCTGGAATTGTGAAATTTAATGATCTTTTATCAGCCTTATTAAGAACATACATTTTATGGTTACATACTGAGTAATATTTATGTTTTGGTTTTAGGTAAAACTGAAATACATAATGTGCAGCCAGTTGCCATTAAAAATCCAACTGATGATAAACATAATATACCTGATACTTTGATGGAAGATTTCTGGTAAAAGGTAATTTTATTTATTGCTCCTACGGTTGAATTATGCATTCAACTAATCACTAATAAGCATTAACATATCTAATTTGAATGTTTATATGTTATTTGGTCATTAAATATATTTTTATATTTTAGATGTTGATGTTAATAGGCAGGAAGTGTCTACCAGGCCCCATACTCCACAATGCTTCACCCCATATGCACAATCAGCTGCAACGCTGACCTCTACAAAGTTATCTAAAGTTAAAAGTGAACACAATGTCAGATCAGGACAAGCACTGTAGTATTTGTATTGATGAAATGTCTATTAAAAGTAATTTATTTTTTGATACAGGCCAACAAGAAGACAAAAGCCACGGGAGCGATCCCCAAAAAATCCCAATCAGAAGAAAAACAAAAGCCACGGGAACAATCCCCAAAAAATCCCAAATAGAGGACAAGCCTAAAGCCGCATAAAAATCAAAAAAAGATTTCCCTCCACCCCTCCCCCAAAACAGCAACAGGAAGGTGATGCGCAGATCGATCGACGCCCTCCGTCTCCATCACAAATTTAAACTGAAGAAGTAACCAAGAAAACTTGGATACCAAAACCGCCTGTAATTAAATTACAGAGTGTAATATCAAATATCAAATACACTGGAGCAATATCAAATATTGCCCAAAAACAGCACATAATCACGGCAAACAAATTGTCAAAAAGCGGCAGAGAGACACTAATACAGGCGAAAAGCACCGAAGACTATCGAAAGATGGTCAAAATCATTGAAAAATTCAATGAAGACATCTCAATCCAATGGATAACGTTCCCGCTTGAGGAAGATATCAAGCCAAGGATGGTAATAAGAGGGCTACCTCCTACAACGAACACGACAGACATGTCCGAGGCAATAAGAGACGAACACAACATCGAAGTCTTGTCGATCAAGAACATGACTTCAAGAAAGAGCGATAGAAGACACCTACTCATGTTCATCATGACGGTGGAGAGGGAGGAGACCGAAAGACTTAAGCGCATCACCAACCTGATGCACATGAAAGTGCTAATAGAGGACTTCAGAAATGCAACAGGGCCCACACAGTGTTTCAACTGCTAGGGCTACCATCATGCACAGAGAGCGTGCTTCAAAGCATCTCGATGTGTAAGGTGCGGAGAAGAGCATCCAAGCAGAAGCTGTCAAATGCCTAAGAAACAAAAGGCAAAATGTACAAACCGTCAAGGACAACAACTCGCAAACTTCAGAGGATGTCCAACCTGGGGTCGCCAACAACTACCCCAAACAAGACAGAAAATAACGACACAAAGAAGGCCGCAAATCAGTCCCAGCGGACCTTCCTACGCACACGCAGCAAAAGCTCAAGAAAATGAGAATAGTATTCTCATTTCCAGGCAACATCAAGATGGCATAGTAAACTCTGTAAAAGAGCTACTCACTAGGGTCATAAACGAGGCGATAGCAGACATAAAGATAGCACTGAACTAGTGCAAGCTAATAGGGGTTTCTTGAGGGTAGGCTCCTGAAACCCAGGAGGTATAAGGACCAACCAGAATATATTGGACGAACTGGTCAATAGATATGAAATGGACGTCGTAGCCATACAAGAAACAAAACTCACAAACAACATAAAAATCAAGTTCACAAGATACGACATCTGTAGGAACGATAACATAGCAAGATCAGGTGGCACAGAATACTAACACCGCAACTAAATTTTATGCAAGCAACAACAATAAGAGTACAAATGAGGCAAGGAGAAGTCAGAATTACCTCCGCCTACGTGAGACCACAAGATCGACTGATCGAAGAAGATCTAAATACGTTCTTAAACGACGAACCCTCAATAATAATAGGAGACCTAAACGCAAGATCACCAAACTGGAACGACAGAGCTAAGAAAAGAAATGAAAGACTAGCAAGACTACTAAACGCATACATCGAAAATAACGAAGACGTTACGCACTATCCAGAAAATGGACTTCCTACACACAGACATTGTAGTATCAAAAAACCTAGGACTACAAACAGAACTACAAACTAAATGCCAACACAGACTACAACCCCATTCTATTAAAACTAGGAACGTGGGAAGAAGAAAGTATAATTAAAAGAATCAAAAAGAAAACACGAGTGAACAAACTTTAAGAGACTCATGGGCACCGGAATAAACATAAGTCCAGTGATAGACAACCCATGAGAAATAGAAGACAGAGTACTAGAATTGGAAAACATTATCCAACAAGCACTCAGAAATAGCACTACCGAACAGGAAGTAGAAATGCACACGGGAAGATTTAAGCACATACCACAAGGAGTAAAAAACTTGATAAGGGAAAAGAACAGAGCAAAGCAGACAGCAAGAAGACAAGGAACCAGGCAGACAAAAACAGAGCAAACAGGCTAGACAAGTCCTGTCCGAACTCGGGAACCCGGAGGCTGGAGTGCCACAGGGAGCAGTACTGTCACCTCTACTGTAAAGAATATACACAGCAGATATACCTAGAACACCAGGTACACTACTAAGCCTCTATGCCGACGACACAACGATAGCAGCTAAACACAGAAATGTAGACATAGCGGTTAACAACCTACAAATAGCACTAGACGACATAGAAGAATGGAGTCTAAAATGGAAAATAGC